GTGACAACGCTGGTATTAAAGAGATATTAAACAATTGTGATTGGTTAATACAAAATCTACTAAATTTATTAAAGAAATGGATATTTCCGGATCCTCCGCATGGTTTTTTAAAATGAAAGAGGTAAAGGAGAAGCCAAGAGAAGAAAATGAACAGATTAGGGAGAAGTGTAGATAAAAAGAGAAAGAGGAACGTAGACAAGAAGAGGAAGAGGAGAAGGAGAAGCGAAGAACAGTAAAAGTGGAAATCATAAATAGTTTATCTCAAATTTAAAAAATTCAAATTACTAGTAGAATAGATAACTTAGAAGAACAACGGAACAATTTAGAAATATAACATTTGATAAAAAATTATATAAAAAGCGATTTAAAACATCAAATATGTAGTACAATATCAACACGATTCAAAAACCGGTTTAGAAAATAAAATAACAACAATAAAACAATTTGAAATTTAATTTAGAAAAAGAAATAGTTGAGTTAGAAAGAAAAATTAATACCCAAGCTTCTATCTAATATTGTTTCAGTAACTAATGTCGAATCTGAACAAACAACAGCTTCATCATCTTCCATATTTGAACCAGGTACAATTACAATTAGCAAAATTTTAAAACCACCCACATTCGATAGTCAAACAGTTTGGGAAAATTAGATTAGAAATCTTATAATAATTCCTGCGGTTTATAAAGAGTATATAAATGATAGTTTTTACATAAAATAGGATTGTTGTTGTTATTTTTATTATTATTAAGGAATAAAGCAAACGACTTAACTCAACAATATATTAAAGCAAGAACTGTAACCAAATCAAAAGATACTGGGCCCTATCAGAGGCAGCAAAACATTTTAACATAAGCCTAATCACATTTTTTCTTTTAATAAAAAATGGAGGGAAGAGGAAATATGAAATTGTCTGCTTCAGAGAGCTCTTCCCAAGCCTGTTGTATACCGTGCTACGGCCCTTCAGCATTTTAAGATATAAAATTACGCCGATACAACCGTTTTATAATAACCTCCCAAACACTCTCGATTGGGTTTAAATCTGGACTGTAGCTGGGCCATGGTAAGATTTCGATGTTATTATTCTAGAGCCACTGGTTTATTGCATTTGCAGTGTGAACAGGACAATTATCTTGTTGGGGGTGAAATTATTTTCTGGATATAACTGTTCTACATTGGGAAACATGATATTTTATAGAATATTCAGATACGTTTGCCTAATAAACCTACTGTATCAATACGCCATACCATTCTATTGCTCTGGATAAAATCCATCCCCATACATTGGCGCTAAAATGACCAGCTGCTCGATATCTTTCAACATATAGAAGATTTGGTCTACTATTATCTGCTCTATACACCCAAACTTTGCCCTTTTTAGAAGATGAAAAATTTTTTCATCTGTAAATATTACTCTGTCCCAAAAATCTTGATTTTGTAGCTGATGATTTTAAGCAAATATAATATAAGTCTTGATGGCTTCTGTTGTTGTGTAAGAGCTTGTTTTTTGCCACAGTTCGGTACCTAAGACCTTTCTTCCCGGAAACTGTGACATAATTCCTTTTTTTTTCTCGCATCATCAAGTATTCTCTTCTAACCTCTCCAAAAGCGTAGATCTCCATGAGCGGTAGATATTTTTGGTCTTCCAGAACCTTGCTTTCTTTCGAGAGTTTCTTGTCCTCTCCATCTTTTATTAATATTAAAAACTGTTGTTCTGCTTACGTTAAAATGGTTCGCTACGGCAGATAATGACCAACCATCTAATTTTGTTACAATTTGTTTCGTTAAGATTTGGCAGTGACAACGACAGTATGTAAATAATAAGTATTTATCCTTCAAAATGCATTGCTTAATTTTCTACAAAATACGCTTTAAGAGTCGTAATTTCAATTCAGAGACACTGCATATGTCGTTCTGATGATACCTAATAACTGATATAAGCGGATGGCAAATGCCCTGCATTGAAATTAAATCTAAAACCGTATTTCTGTTTTATCATTTTCAATTCGAAGCTGCAGTTAGGACAAATGGCTGGATTGAGAAATAAATGGCAGCTTCTTTGGAGTGTCGCTTCGAGGACAGGCAATTTCTTTTTCAGAATGTACTCAGCTATACCTTCGTTTAAGCTTTAGAAAAAAGATATGGCCAGCAGTATCCAAAGCAGGTCTTTCAAAGTCAGCTGAAAAGTCGATATCAAAAACATAACGAAAACTTGCAAGAATTTGAAGCCGATATTAAAAGATTAATACATTTGGAATACACTCAGACACCCATACAGTTAGGTATATAGGCAATCATAGATGGACCACTAATATCAGCCGAGGAGTACGAAGTGGCGAAAACCATTTTCAGATCTCGCCCAAAATTAAAAGAAATAGGATTTCGAGAAAATGAGGAAGTCACAATCTGCAGATAACCAACAATTTATTTTATCCCAATTTTTAAGCATATTACAAAATCTTCAATAAAAAACTTTAAATGAAAACAGAAAATGTTTTAATTGTAGAAGAATTGGACAGTTGCAAAACAATTGCAGAAGCCGAATTTAAGAAATAAAATAAGAACCAAATATTGAGGTTAGAAGGTCTTGTAATGTCTCTAAGAAATCAATTTCCTATAAATGACCACAGAAGTTAAAAAAATACTCTGAAATCTAAAGTTGCACGTTTGAAGGCGTAATTAGCTACCTAGCAAAAGTGAAATAGATAATTTAAGAGAACAGGTGTCAATTTTGCAGAATGAACAATTACAAGAATTCCAAGAAGCTTTAAATGAATTGAAGGTTTAGTCAGTGTCAGCTTGAAGAAAAATCAAATGTAACCGAAAAAATAAGTCTCAGGATGACCACAGTTGAACTATCTATCTATCTATCTAATTAGCCTTCTTCGGTCCATCTTTGGACATAGGCCTCCCCAATCCTTTTCCATTCTTCTCTGTCTGTCGCTACAGTCATCCACCTAGAGCCCACGTGCTTCTTGATATCATCTGCCCATCTCATTTGGGGCCTTCCTCTGCTTCGTTTATATTCCCACGGTCTCCAACTTATAAGAATTTTGTTCCATCGGTCTTCTTTTTGTCTTATATTGTGTCCGGCAAATTGTGTCACTTTCTCTTCGATGCAAATCCACTAATGGATGTTAGCGATCACATTTTCCATTAATTCTCTATTTCTTGCAATATGTATCAGAGATTGTATGTCGTTAATCCCTGTCCATTGCCTTATGTTTCGGAGCCAGGACATTTTCTTGCGTCCCATTCCTCTCTTGCCTTCAATTTTACCCTCGATTATAAGTTGGAGGAACTGGTATTTTTCATTTCGCATGATGTGACCTAGATACGCCGTTTTCCTTTTCTTGATGGTTTCGAAAAGTTGGCGTTCTTGGTTTATTCTTTTAAGGACATCTATATTTGTGATTTTCGCTGTCCATGGTATTTTTAGGATACGCGATAAAACCACATTTCGAAAGCTTCTAATCCCCCTGCAAAGCAACCGCCCGACTCATAAATACTATGCTGAGCAGTAGAAACATCCGTGTAACCATGGGAACTACAGTGAGCAAACAGAGAACGCTTAATAATGGCCTCCCCCAGGGCTCCGTACTTGCACCGCTGCTATTTAGTATGTATATAGCTGATATGCCCCCTACCAGATCTAAAAAATTTGGATATGCAGACGACTGGGCACTTGCAACTCAAAGCTCCTTAATACAAAACTCCGAGGCAATCCTAACGGAAGATCTGGAACGCCTGGTTAAGTACTTTAAACAATGGAGACTTAAACCTAACCCCAAAAAAACCGAGGTTAGCTGTTTTCACCTGAACAACAAAATGGCCCACACAAAACTTAAAGTATACATTGATAACCAACTGCTCACGCACAACTATAATCCCAAGTACCTCGGCGTCACCCTGGACAGAACACTCTCCTTTAAGAAACATCTTGAGAACACCGCAGCAAAGCTGAGAACCCGTAACAACATCATACAGAAGCTTTGCGGGACTACATGGGGCTCATCAGCAGGTACACTTCGGTGTTCAGCCCTTGGACTCGTATACTCCGCAGCTGAATACTGCTCTCCTGTTTGGCTGAATAGCGTTCACACAAAAATTATAGATACCCAGCTCAATGTCGCCATGCGTCTCATATCTGGAACGATCAAGTCTACACCTGTGGAGTGGCTTCCACTACTGAGCCATATACCTCCACCTAATCTTCGTCGTCAGCATGCTCTGCTTAGAGAATTCCAAAAGCTGCTTAACAACCCGCAATTACCTATACACACATATGTCGCCGACGCTAATTCACATCGATTGCGCTCCAGAAAACCTCCGACTAGAGATGCAATAAACTTGAGTTCCAACAATTTCCAAATGAACTCCCAGTGGAAGAACATGCAGAGCGACAGACCGAACCTAATAATGAGAAACACACCATGCATCACAGAAACTCCACCAGGTTTTGACCTCCCCCGAAAATCATGGTCAACTCTTAACAGGATAAGAACGGGTCATGGAGTCTGCGCAGATTCCCTTTATAAATGGAGGATGAGAACCTCTGCTGAGTGCGACTGCGGCGCCGAGAAACAGACCATCCAGCATATGATTGCCGAATGCCCTCGGAGGAAGTATTATGGAGATCCTCTAGACTTCGCCTCTGCAACACCAGCGTCGATTGAATATATTAATACATTAGATGTTAGATTGTAACATATATGTGATAATGTTGTGTATCAAATTGCCATACGCTAAATATAAATAAAATGTTTATATCCCTCGCTTTGAGTGTTCCAGCCCTCTACGCCATATAGCAGCACTGACCAAAGCAAAGCAAGCCCATATAGCAAATTGGTGTCACAGTTGAACAGTAAGAAGATAATGGATGGACTTCCTTGGAACATCTTAAAAAGAGATAAAAGAAAGAAATGACCTAAAAGTTATACGAGTAAGACCAATTGGCAGGAAATAACCAAATTACAGTGGAGCTGTAAAGGCTTACTTGCTCAATGGTAATTTGTGTATTCGATGTGCATCAAAAACTTCAAAGAAAAATTAAAAAAGTCTACGAATTTGCTCGTAAAACTTTAAAGCTTCAACGTGATAAAACCAAGACCAGGCTCGACATGCATGCTACTAGAACAACTTTCGAAAGATGTGAACCAGTATGTTTATACAATCCCAAACGTAAGAAAGGACTTCAAGGAATCCGAAACTTCAACGAAACTGGGAGGGCAGGTGCACAAGCCTGCCACATCCAGTTTTCGGCTAGAAGTAAACCTAAGGTGGTTCATATCATGAGATTACTTCCATACCATGGAACTGATCCACCCTGTTGGCTTCTTTCACTAAGGTAGCAGTGTTATAGAAAAAGTCCCTGCAGACAAAGAAGAAGTATTAAAAATAGAATAGAATAGAAATAGAAATATGCTTTATTGTCACTGAAAATTATTGAACAATTTTTAGGACAAGCTAAAAAATAAATCAGTCAAAAATACAAAAAGTATAAAACAAAAACAATATAGTAAAAAACAGAATAACACAATTTTAAATAGTAAAATTATGTATAACCTACATAATTTGTACAGACAACACAAATGAGTACAAATTGTATACGTTCGGATACAATTACGTCTCTAGCGAAGACAATGACGTCGACTTTGCTAAGTTATCAAGACAATTACTCTACATAAACACACACACACTACACCTCAAATTTAAGATTGGCGAATGGATTTAGTGTCCGCAGTCATTTAACACAAACAAACAAAAAATTGTAGCCACTGCTTGAGACACCCAAATGTAATTATAAACAATACTAATTTTGTTTCTTTGTTATACATTAAGAAACTCGTCAACTGAATAATATGGTCTTTCTGAGAGATAGATTTTTGTCACCTTACGAAACTTAATGAAGGATGTTGCGGATTTAATTTCTCTTGGAAGGTGATTATAAAGTTTCTTTGCACGATATAGAATAGAATTCTTTACTAGCTGAGTGGACGGGATCGGCAAATAAACGTTACAATCCGAATTTCTAATGGAGTAGCCATGGTCAGGTCTATCGGGAAAAATGTTTAGATGCTTTCGAATCAAACAAACCGTTTCCAAAATAAATAAAGAGGGAAGCGTCAAAATTCCGTGATTTTTGAAGTAGGTCTTGCAATGAGTTGTTTGTTTGAGACCAAATAGATAACGGATTGCTCTTTTTTGCAACTTAAAAATAGTATCAAATTGGGCCGCTGTACTAGAACCCCAAAATGGAAGCCCATATCGAAGATGGGACTCGAACAATGAGAAATATGCCATTTTGGCAGAAGATAAATTTAGTTCCTTCGAAACAGATCTTATTGCAAAGCAAGCTGAGGCTAGTTTCTTCCTTAAGGAGTCAGTATGCAAGGACCATTTGAGATCACTGTCAATGAGAATACCTAGAAATTTCACGGAATTTACGATATTGATTTGGCTCTCATTCAAAAGCAAGGGTTGCATGACTCCTTTATAAGATAATGCTACAGTCTTATCCACGTTAAAGCTAAGTAAGTTGGAGTCTGACCAAGCCTTGATTATAAGTAAATCATCGGTTATAATTGAATGAAGCGTTGAAATATCAGAGCTGCTCCAAGTAATACTGGTATCATCAGCAAATAGAAAAATTTTCCCTTTAATTTTCAAGTAAGTGATGTCATTAATGAAAAGTAAAAAAAGAATGGGACCTAATACTGAACCTTGCGGTACTCCACACTCAATATCTTTACAACTAGAGTCGGTGTCATTTATTCTAACCAATTGTTTCCTACCTACCAAGTAAGTTTTGAACCAGTTCAAAGACACACCCCGAATTCCATAGAAAGTTAATTTTTTTAATAGAATGTCGTGATTTACGCAGTCAAAGGCTTTGGAATAGTCGCAGAAAACGGTGGCGGAGGAGAGGTTACTGTTTAGTGATAGATATACATCATGTAACACAGAAAATATGGCATCACTAGTGCATTTATTAGACAAAAAGCCGAACTGATTTTGCGATAAAATATTATATTTAAGGAGAAAGGGCATAAGTCGAACTTTTATAAGTCTTTCAATAATTTTTGATAGTGCTGGTAACAAGGCAATAGGTCTATAGTTGCAGGCATCAGATTTTTCTCCACCTTTATGAAGAGGAATGACGATGGCAGTCTTTAGGCAGTTAGGGAATGTACCTTTTTCAAGGGAATCATTTACTAGCGAGACCATGACCTCCAAAACATTATGCGGTAGATTTGAGAAAATTTTAATAGATAATCCATCTGTACTACAGGACGATGTGCTTTTTATACTACGAATTGTTGAAATGAGTTCCGTCTTATCAACTGGTCTTAAAAAGAAGATTTTGAATAATATTTAGAATATTTGAGATATTATCGATAAATTCAGAAATTTCTACTAATAT